CTTAATGTTACTCTGATCCGGTTACTTATGTTGTGGCAGATATTTAAGTAAGCTTTCTTAACGCTAATGTTATAATAGTCAGATTGCTCTGAAGATGGGAGGGGATATTCTATTAATGTTCACGTTCACACAGTCAGTTGATTTTTGCCGGCGTCTTTCCCTGCAACGGCAGTTTTTCTGTATTTCCTCTATCCTGTAATATGACTTGATAGCTTTAAACTCCGCACACGGAGCTCTGATTGGTCAGCAGGCGGTGCTTTCACTGAGTTGATCTCTTAGCCTGCAACCTAACCTCCTCCCGAGGAGGTTAGCCGCTCAGCATAAGTTACCATGGAGATTCTACCCCCGCTAAAAAGAGAACCAGCGTCGTAGGACCGGAAAGCCAGAGTTTTCCCTGAAGTCAGCCGGCTTCGTAGTACAGGCCTCTGCTCTCTGAGTTTCAGCTCAGAGAGCAGCTGGTTCAAAGCCTCAGGAGAAACTGAACCTCTTCCCTAGTTCAGAACAGACTTTTGGTTCAGCTAGAAGAAACAAATCCTCAGAGCGAAGCCCATAAGATCCTGAGAGTTTTCTGTTTATGTAGATCTTTAGATAGGAGGAAGAGCACCAAGAATAGCCGAGTATCAGCAGTAGCGTGGCGTGGGGAAAAATGTAGGGGAAGCCCATTTTTTTGGGTTGGGGGGGGTGGTCAATAACGTAACCAGATGAGTGATTACAGCGCCCGGTATCATTTTACACACATTTGTATCACACAGATGCAGGACTTGCACACGCCTGTTATCCACTTGCACTCTCCAGCCGAAACTCTCTCGTCTTATTAATTTAAGCAGACACACCCCCCCCCCCAAATGCAATACCAGCCGCTCAATGCGCAGTGCAGATTCGGTAATGAATAAAAAAAGAAGCATTCATTCACAAAGTAAATCAGGAGACCTTTAAAGTTTTACGTTCACATCAAAGTATCAGTAGGCGTGTATGAAACACATGAATTCAAAAACAATTATGTACAGAAACATTTGCATGCGATAGTCCACCTTCTCTTTCCCTTCCCTTTCTAACACACGGCAAGTGCAGCAACAGTCCTCGTCTCTGTAATTAGCTCATTCCGTAGTCCAAAAGTAACTAAAAAATATAAACAATCTCATCTATTCAGGTGATCGGGGCCCTATATGGAATAAATAATGCTTCATTTGCTTGATAATTTCAAACGGCGGTGATGACAGTTACAGTAGGCTACTACATAAAACTGATGTTGATGTGATTTGATTGGATGGCAGTGTCCAATCAAATCGCCAGCCGCCTCTGAAGGGAAGCCAGAGGCGGCTGGCTTCCCTTGGCATGGCCCTGACCAATCACAGGTTGGCAGGGGCATCACGTGGGCCTCATCTGATTGGTCAATCCCTCAATTTGTTTTCACCAAGGGAAGCCCGATCCGGCTGGCCTCCTCTCGCAACAGTGAATGCAATCTACTGTTTCACCATAACATCTAGAGGGGCGCTGTTTGTTTCACTCTTTGTAAAATACTCAATGAGAGTGGGGGAGAGACGGGCCGGCAGCAACACACAGCAAAGGAGAATTATCGAAACAAAACAAAGTGTTTTTATTTATTTATTTAAATTATAACTACAATCCGAAAAAACAGGGGAAGCCTGGCTTCCCTTGGCCTCCCGGAGAAAACGCCACTGAGTATCAGGATGACTGGTTTAACGTGTGTGTGTGTGTGTGTGTGTGTGTGTGTGTGTGTGTGTGTGTAGGGGAACCTCCAGCTGCTGCAGAGCTGTATGGGCGTCCTGAAGGGAAACACCTAACTCCGCCCCCTCCATCAGGACACACCCCCTCCACAAGCCCCGCCCCCATCAGCTGACTGAGGGCAGGCGACACAGAGGAGCAGAGAGAGAGTACAGGAAGTCTCCCTCTTCCTCAGAGAGAACAGGAAGTCACCCTCCTCTTGCTCTTTGACTATAACGTGTTCATTGGTGTAAATAAAGTCACATGACCTCCCCCGGGAACACCGAGGTAAACAACAACATGATCAGCTGTAACTGTTAGCTCATATTAGCCAGCTACGCTAATCCTGTTAGCAGAAGTTATCACAAGAATCTGTTGTTATTGTTGTTGTGCTAATGTTACCGTCCGTCTGCTAACACCTTGAGCTAACGTTAGCCCACTCATTGTATGGAGTTATCTCCTGATGGTGTTACCTGGCTGTGATTGGTGGAGGTTGTGATCACATGATTAAACAGTTTGTGCTCAGCTTCTCTCTAAAGTGTTCAGAGGAACCTGAAGGTTTTATGTTTTATTATTAAAGTGAACGTCACCGTTCACACACACTAACCTCCTGTTTTAAAACAATGTAAATTATAACAAAACTACTTTTGATGTCTCGGGTTCCACTGCTTTCAAAATAAGATGTTTTCCATGGATTTAAAAATGAATTAAATACATGTATTTAAAAAGTGTGTGTGTGTGTTTTAAAAGAAAAGTCTTTGATTATTCAATTTAAAAAATGAAAAAGTCCCATAACGAGATGATCCAATCACAGAGCTCTGTGATTGGATGAGAGATGATCCAATCACAGAGCTCCAGTGCTTTCATAAAATAGATCACCAACATGTAATACGATGTAATGATGTCCTATTTCCATCTGGAAGGACAGACGTCCTGCACGAGTAGAGAGCACCAGGATCTGACCCCGTTACACAGAAAGGCAATGTCCTTTATACAGATGAGACACAGGAAGGAAGGCAATCCACATTACAGTCCTAAATTGGGTGGGGGGTGGGGGGGGGAGACAGAAGGGGAAGCGCAGCATGTTAATTACAACCCTAACATCCATGATAAATATGACACCCTTCTGTCTGAGAACATAAAATAGATCACCAACATATTTGTATATAAAGGAGAAATATACAATAAATATATTACACTTCCAATAAATTCAATAATTATTTATATTTTTGCGATTCTTTTCAGAATAAATATAAATACCATTTGAACTCTCATTGCAAACAGTTGATTAGTGGAAAGCTTTAAAAACATGAATTCACATAGTGGCACATTATCTAAGGGATGTGTGCACTGAGGTTATAACCCGTAAAAATGCTCAGACTGTGGTGATTGACATTATTCACCCACGGATCCAGGGCCGGCCCTAGACTTTTGGGGGCCCTAAGCGAGCTTTGGCTTGGGGGCCCCCCTCACTCTAGCGCGTTCTCACTTCACACAACACGGAACCTACTTTTGTCTTATGATGTTAGCATAAGCACACATATTGTATAAATAAGCATGTAAACACCGTGGACCTAACATCCTCTAGGGGGGTCCTCACCTCCTCTAGGGGGGTCCTCACCTCCTCTAGGGGGGTCCGGGGGCATGCTCACCCAGGAAGATTTTTTTTTAAATATTGAAGTTGAAAGCATCAATCTGGTGCACTTTGAGAGCAAAATTAAGAGATCTATGGATACATCTCTCAACACCCAAACGCTCGAGTTCAATTTTTTCAACTCGAGTGTCAAATTCACGTGACGTGATCTCGCGGTAGCCAATCAGCGGTTAGGAACTCAGCCTGCCGTCACTGACGTTCAACCAGAAAACATCAGCCGTTAGCTGTCAGCAGTTAGCACACAGAGCTCACAGCTCCTCATATCTGTTCAGAAACTGGACAAAAGTTAAACAAGTACAAACCACAGACTGTCTGTGTCATGGCGAATACAGTCGCTGGTTTATTTCTGTCTGTAGGTCGTTGTTGTGAGAGAGGACGGAGCAGCTACAACGTTAGCTTAGCCTGATCTATCCGATCTCCATTCAGAAAACAAGCATTTTAAAAGGTGTTTCTCCTGCCATCTGTCTGCAGACTTGTCAAAGCATTAATTCATGGTTTTTACTAACCGGTATCAGTATGTTGTTACTTCGGCATCATTTTGAAACGTGTATTACAATTAAATCACGGTCAAATATGTTCATTGTGTTGTAGTTGTAGCCCCCGAGCCAGCGCGTCTTGTTTGAATGATGCGAGTAAACACAGCTGACAGCCGCGGTGAAACTCGAGCGATTAGAGCGAAGCGAATATTCGCATAGCGTCCGGTGTGAACGCAGCATTAGATATAACATCAATGCTATTTTTCATTGCTGTTGCCGGCCGCTATTGCTCACGTAAACCTACTACTGCTGCACCCCCTGTAATCTCAGAGGCACCCCAAGTCATTTTGTTCTGAAACCGGGCCTGTACTGAGCATTAGAGCACAGTGTTATATTTCTTAATGGGGGGGTTTAAGATAAAGATAAGATGAGATAAGATGAGAAGTACTTTATTGATCCCAATCTGGGAAATGTTTGCGTTGCAGCAGCATAAAAAGACATGGCACTGCACATTAGAGAAATTAAAAGACTAGAAATAAACAATCCAAAATGTAAACATCTCAAATAGAAATAGCATTAAAAAAGTAGAAAATGTTCATGTTGTGTGGTGGAAATGCCACACTTAATCACCTTCTGGTAAGAAAAGAAGAAATATACAAGCTTAAACCAAAGTCGTGTTATTTAATAAAGAGTTATAGCATTTAACAGAATCAATCCTATTTCCAGCTGGACAGACGTCCTGCACGAGTAGATAGCACCAGGATCTGACCCCGTTACACAGAAAGGCAATGTCCTTTATACAGATGAGACACAGGAAGGAATTGGGTGGGGGAGACAGAAGGGGAAGCGCAGCATGTTAATTACAACCCTAACATCCATGATAAATATGACACCCTTCTGTCTGAGAACATTTCATAGCCAGGAAACCTACATATATATTGAATCACTGAAAATTCCCATCATATGTTGTTTTACAGGATTTGAGGTGTTATTTTATTTATTTTAATTGGCTGTTGTTGTGGATTGAGAAAGTGAACTGTGGGTATATTCCCTCTGGAGCCGACAGGTGGCGGCAACGCGCCATTAAACTGGATCCTAACCGCCGGGAAACCAGAAGAAGAAGAGAGGATATAGAGATTTATTTTCAAACTCAAGGCTCTTATTGTGGAGGGGCAGCCGGAAGCAGTGCGGAGCGACCGATGAGAAGCTTCGCTGGATCAGAGTCTGAGAGAAAATGAGCTCCATCGGAACCGGGGTGAGTTTACCTTTAACTCTCTCAATGTGTCCCCGTTTTACCCTCTTTACTCTGAGTATACACTCTACTGGGAATATACCCTTTACTGGGAATATCCACTCTTAAACCCGTCCATTATACCATGTAGCATGCGAGCTAGCGTGTTAGCCTGCTGAGTCACAACGAGGCATGCTAACACAAGCTAACAGGAGATAACAAGAGAAATGACAGCATTCACAGTTTTAATATTAATTTCATCTGTACTTTTATAGATAACTTAAAATGAAACATGTCTCTATTGTACTTACATATAATGAGTAACTTTAGGAACGCAAATGAGTCAGCAAATAAATAAATAAGACTCCATGCTAACTGTTAGCTGTTAGCTCGCAACCGAACTCCGTTTAGAAATAAACAGTTTTGAGATGTGTCGCTGAAATTAATCCCTAATTTATATACTTTAACACTTTTTATGTTCTCTTTAACTGCTTTAATGTAATCGGCCGTCATGATACTCCCTTAAACATACATGAATACACTTTAAATCCACATAATGAGCTAACAGAAGCGAAAACGAAAGCATTCAGTTGTTATACTTAGTTTAGTTTCAGTTTGTAGGTAATACTTTGATTAAAAGACCATGAATCAAACGCATCTCTCTGTCTTCATAAAATGAGTAACTTTAGGAATATGAGTAAATAAACAGATGCTAACTGTTAGCTGTTAGCTCACACCCAGACTCCCTTTCTACGTTAGTCGTGTTTTTATATATTATCGTGTTTTATTTATTTTATTCTCTCTGCGTTTTAATCACAGTTTTTAAATGACCCTTTTATAATGCGTGTCTGCTGCTCTATTCCTTCATCTTTTTAATTTAGTGAAACACGTTGCCTTGCCTCGTGTTGAAACGGGACGAGTGGTTTATCCCTGATTTATCTTTCTCTTTTCTGTTCTCAGTGTTTCTGTTCAATCAGCCTTCATATTACTACCTTAAATAGACTTTAACTCACCTTAAATAGACTTTAACTCACCTTAAATCCTCATTACAGCTGGGCAGAGGCCCCCCATTGTACCCTCTGAAACAGATTAAATGCAGATACAGTTTACAGGTAACACTTAATGAAACACACCTCTCTGTTTCTAAATATACTTTAGAGTAACTTCAGGAATATCAATGAGTCAGCAAATACATAGGCAGACTCCATGCTAACTGTTAGCTGTTGGCTCAAAACCAAACTCCCTTTAGACACACATCAGTTTCAAACTGTGAAGTTTATCCATGATATAAATATGTTATCTTTGAACTGTCTGTTCAATCAGCCTTCATTCTACCTTCAATAGACTTTAATTCACTTTGAATCATTATGAGAGCTGGGCAGACGCACAAGCTTCACTTAGTTAGATCTGACTCAGTTATAGCAGCAGTGTGTTCAGGTGTATCTACCGTAGAGAAGACGTGGCTTTAGTCGTTCTACAGGTCATGTTTTCAGCTGCAAATTAATGAGTTTGTCCCAATTTTTTAATTCATATAAAACACTAAGTGGTTTTTTAATTGGCTCCATGTCTGGTTTAAGAATCATGTGACCCCGTGGTTAGTTAGTTACAGTAGCTGCCTTTAACCCTCATTAACACACAGGTAACCATGGGAACATGTGTTGGTGAGTTAATAGTGACTCAGGTGAGCAGTCAGGTGTGTTCAGGCTGTATCTGTCCTGTGGGGAGGAGTGTAACTCACCACGGGGTCACATGACCCAGGAGAGCTGTGATTGGCTGTCGGGGAGGAGTGATGAAGATGAGAACGGTTTCGCTAAAACTGCTGATATCCTGTGATGTCACACCTTCTCTTGGCTGTCTGACCAATCCGCTGCCAGCTCACCTCCAGCTCATTTTGGGACGTTAACTCTGTTAGCATTAGCGGTTAGCTCGTTGAAGTCATGTGACCGTGCTGTAGTTCCTTTATAGCCCAACATTATGAATGAATGATTTTGTCCCAATTTTAAATTGATAAATGAATATAAAAGTGGTTTGTAATTGGCTCCTTGTCTGGACTTAAGGTTTTTTCTCCATAAGTTAAACCCCATAAAATGTTATTATATCTCAATCAAACTATTTATTAGGACATTTCAAACAATGCATCTACTAAGCAGCAGATTGACCCCAGACATTTGATGGTGTCACAGAATCAGAAGGGACCCTTCTTATGGATTTACACTTGGTGTTATTTTGCATCTGCACTGTATATATATATATATATATATATATATATATATATATATATATATATATATATATATATATATATATATATATATATATATATATATATCTATATATATATATATATATCTATATATATATATATATATATATATATATATATATATATGTGTATAAATATTAATATATTAACTGTGTGTGTCCTGCAGTACGATCTGTCCGCCTCCACCTTCTCTCCAGATGGACGGGTGTTTCAGGTGGAGTACGCCATGAAGGCCGTGGAGAACAGCAGGTAAATAACCACGTGGTCACATGACTCAGGGGCGCTGTGATTGGCTGTCGGGGAGGAGTGATGAAGATGAGAACGGTTTCGCTAAAACTGCTGATATCCTGTGATGTCACACCTTCTCTTGGCTGTCTGACCAATCCGCTGCCAGCTCACCTCCAGCTCATTATGGGATGTAACAGAAACATGTTAACTGTCATTAACTGAGGTGTGTGTTTTCAGCACGGCCATCGCTATCCGCTGTAAGGATGGCGTTGTGTTCGGGGTGGAGAAGCTGGTTCTGTCCAAACTGTACGAGCAGGGCTCCAACAAACGCATCTTCAACATCGACAGACACGTCGGCATGGTAACCACACACACATTAACCACCTTTAGCTTAGCGATGGTGAAGTCATGTGATAGCATTACAGTAGCTGCCTTTACTGCTCATAAACACAAGTAACCATGGGAACAGGTGTTAGTGAGTTAATAGTGATTCAGGTGAGCGCTCAGGCTGTATCTGTCCTGTGATTGGCTGTCGGAGAGGAGTGATGAAGATGAGAACGGTTTCGCTAAAACTGCTGATATCCTGTGATGTCACACCTTCTCTTGGCTGTCTGACCAATCCGCTGCCAGCTCATTATGGGATGTTAACTCTGTTAGCATTAGCGGTTAGCTTGTTGAAGTCATGTGACCGTGCTGTAGCTCCTTTATAGCCCAACATTAGCCTCCTTTAGCTTAGCGGTGGTGAAGTCATGTGACCGTGCTGTAGCTCCTTAATAGCCCAACATTAGCCACCTTTAGCTTAGCGGTGGTGAAGTCATGTGACCGTGCTGTAGCTCCTTAATAGCCTCTCTTGAATAACTCTTGTCCTCTCTCTAGGCGGTAGCTGGGCTGCTAGCTGATGCTCGCTCTCTCTCTGAAGTGGCGAGAGAGGAAGCCTCCAGCTTCAGATCGAGCTACGGACACGACATTCCCCTCAAGGTGCGGCTCTTACTCATGTAATCTCTATGGTGCAGCTGATGCTAAGCTAACAGTGTCTCCTCTGGTTGATGCTAAGCTAACAGTGTCTCCTCTGGTTGATGCTAAGCTAACAGTGTCTCCTCTGGTTGATGCTAAGCTAACAGTGTCTCCTCTGGTTGATGCTAAGCTAACAGTGTCTCCTCTGGTTTCAGCACCTGTCGGAGAGAGTGGCCATGTACGTGCACGCCTACACTCTGTACAGCGCTGTGAGGCCGTTCGGCTGCAGGTGAGTTACTGCACTCCGAGTGATGCTTTCAGGGACATCAGCTGATTCACTGAGCATGCTGCGTTCAGGGACATCAGCTGATTCACTGAGTGTGATGCGTTCAGGGACATCAGCTGATTCACTGAGCGTGATGCGTTCAGGGACATCAGCTGATTCACTGAGCGTGATGCGTTCAGGGACATCAGCTGATTCACTGAGCGTGATGCGTTCAGGGACATCAGCTGATTCACTGAGCGTGCTGCATTCAGGGACATCAGCTGATTTACTGAGCGTGATGCGTTCAGGGACATCAGCTGATTCACTGAGCGTGATGCGTTCAGGGACATCAGCTGATTCACTGAGCGTGCTGCGTTCAGGGACTGCAGGACTATTTAAACCTCAGTCTGCAGGGTGGGATGATGAGAGTCAGAGGTTTCGCTTAAAAAGCTGAACTCCTGTGATGTCATATCCTCTTGGCTGTCTGACCACTCTCTCACTCACACACACTCTCACTCTCACTCACACTCACACACACACACTCACACACACACTCTCACACACACACTCACACTCTCTCACACTCTCTCATACACACACACTCTCTCATACACACACACTCTCTCATACACACACTCTCTCTCACACACACACTCTCTCACACACACTCACACACACACACAGTCTCTCTCACTCACTCACACACTCTCTCTCTCTCTCTCACACACACTCTCTCTCTCACACACACTCTCTCTCTCTCACACACACTCTCTCTCTCTCACACACACACTCTCTCTCTCACACACACTCTCTCTCTCACACACACACTCTCTCACACACACTCTCACTCACACACACACACACTCTCTCTCTCACACACACTCTCTCTCTCACACACACTCTCTCTCTCACTCACACACTCTCTCTCACTCACACACACACACTCTCTCTCTCACTCACTCACACACACTCTCTCTCACACACACACTCTCTCACTCACACTCTCTCTCTCACTCACACTCTCTCTCTCACTCACACTCTCTCTCTCACTCACACTCTCTCTCACACACACACTCTCTCACTCACACTCTCTCTCTCTCTCACACACACACTCTCACACACACTCTCTCTCTCACACACTCTCTCTCACACACTCATGACACATGAAATCAGAGCTTCCATGTATTAAAGAAAGATATATCTGTGTGTCTAGCTTCATCCTGGGCTCTTATGATAAAGACGACGGTCCTCAGCTCTACATGGTCGACCCCTCAGGCATCTCTCACGTGAGTTACATCATTATTATGGGATGTATCAGGTGTGCTCAGGCTGTATCTGTCCTGTGATTGGCTGTCGGGGAGGAGTGATGAAGATGAGAACGGTTTTGCTAAAACTGCTGATATCCTGTGATGTCACACCTTCTCTTGGCTGTCTGACCAATCCGCTGCCAGCTCACCTCCAGCTCATTATGGGATGTAACGGAAACACTTTACTGTCATGCTGAATGTAATAAAGCTGTTATTGAACAGTGATGATGATGATGAAGAGCTCTCTCCTCAGGGTTATTGGGGCTGTTAATGAATGGTGGTGATGATGATGAAGAGCTCTCTCTCCTCAGGGTTATTGGGGCTGTTAATGAATGGTGGTGATGATGAAGAGCTCTCTCTCCTCAGGGTTATTGGGGCTGTTAATGAATGGTGGTGATGATGATGAAGAGCTCTCTCCTCAGGGTTATTGGGGATGTTAATGAATGGTGGTGATGATGATGAAGAGCTCTCTCTTCTCAGGGTTATTGGGGCTGTTAATGAATGGTGGTGGTGATGATGATGAAGAGCGCTCTCTCCTCAGGGTTATTGGGGCTGTGCGATCGGGAAGGCTAAACAAGCAGCGAAGACTGAGATCGAGAAACTGCAGGTGAGAGTTAGCATCTGAAGCTAATCAATAACAGATCATTCACCAGGTGCAGAGAGGAAGCTGGGCCTGTCACGTGACTCAGGTGAGCAGACGGGTGTGTTTAGAGAGAATCTGAGGCTGTGATTGGCTGTCGGGGAGGAGTGATGAAGATGAGAACGGTTTCGCTAAAACTGCTGATATCCTGTGATGTCACACCTTCTCTTGGCTGTCTGACCAATCCGCTGCCAGCTCACCTCCAGCTCATTATGGGATGTAACAGACATGTTTCCTGTCATTAACTGAGGTGTGTGTTTCAGATGAAGGACATGACGTGCAGGGAGGTCGTGAAAGAGGTCGCTAAAATGTGAGTAAACATCCAAACTAACCTTTATTGACACGGAACAGCAGACATCAGTACATTTGAAACATCCAAAACTAACCTTTATTGACACAGAACGGCAGACATCGGTACATTTGAAACATCCAAAACTAACCTTTATTGACACAGAACGGCAGACATCGGTACATTTGAAACATCCAAAACTAACCTTTATTGACACAGAACGGCAGACATCAGTACATTTGAAACATCCAAAACTAACCTTTATTGACACAGAACAGCAGACATCGGTACATTTGAAATAACATAACATTTGGCCAACACTCGTTTTTACTGAATAGAGCCTGAATGCATCATAGTGTAACTGTGTAAACTCAGTTAGCATTAGCTCGTTGTTCACAGATCCAGAACCAGCTTACTCAGGTGAGCGCTCAGGTGTGCTCAGGCTGTATCTGTCCTGTGATTGGCTGTCGGGGAGGAGTGATGAAGATGAGAACGGTTTCGCTAAAACTGCTGATATCCTGTGATGTCACACCTTCTCTTGGCTGTCTGACCAATCCGCTGCCAGCTCACCTCCAGCTCATTATGTGATGTAAACTCTGTTAGCATTAGCGGTTAGCTCTCGCACCAGAACCCGTTTAGATTTACACGTTCTCCTGTGTCTCTGCAGAATCTACATCGTGCACGATGAGGTGAAGGACAAGGCCTTCGAGCTGGAGCTCAGCTGGGTGGGAGAGGGTGAGTCCACCAATCACAGCGCTGCGTTTCTTCTTCTGTCCTCTCTCTACCTGTCTTTCATATTTATTAAACAGAATAAATAAACAGTTATACTAAAAAATAAATGTTACAGAAACGATTGGTAGCATTACAGTAGCTGCCTTTAACCCTCATGAACCCAGGTAACCATGGGAACAGGTGTTAGTGAGTTAACAGTGACTCAGGTGTGCTCAGGCTGTATCTGTCCTGTGATTGGCTGTCGGGGAGGAGTGATGAAGATGAGAACGGTTTCGCTAAAACTGCTGATATCCTGTGATGTCACACCTTCTCTTGGCTGTCTGACCAATCCGCTGCCAGCTCACCTCCAGCTCATTATGGGATGTTAACTCTGTTAGCATTAGCGGTTAGCTCGTTGAATTTGAAGTTAACTCTGTCTCTCTCCTCAGTCACAGACGGACGACACCAGCTCGTTCCCAAAGACGTTAGAGAGGAGGCGGAGAAATACGCCAAGGTGACACACACACCTCACAGACACACCTTACACACACCGTACAGGCACACACCTCACAGACACACACCTACCTCACAGACACACCTACCTCACAGACACACCTACCTCACAGACACCTACCTCACAGACACCTACCTCACAGACACCTACCTCACAGGCACACACCTCACACACACACCTCAGACACACACCTCACAGACACACACACCACAGACACACACCTCACAGACACACACCTCACAGACACACACCTCACAGACACACACCTCACAGACACACACCTCACAGACACACACCTCACAGACACACACCTCACAGACACACACCTCACAGACACACACCTCACAGACACACACCTCACAGACACACACCTCACACACACCGTACAGGCACACACCTCACACACACCGTACAGGCACACACCTCACACACACCGTACAGGCACACACCTCACACACACCGTACAGGCACACACCTCACACACACACCTCACAGACACACCGTACACACACACCTCACAGACACACACACCTCACAGACACACACCTTAAACACACACACACCTCACAGACAGACACACACACACACACCTTACACACAGACACACACACACACCTTACACACAGACACACACACACACCTTACACACAGACACACACACACACCTTACACACAGACATACACACACCTCACAGACAGACATACACCTCACAGACAGACACACACCTCACAGACAGACACACACACCTTACTCACAGACACCTTACAGACACACACACCTCACAGACACACCTTACACACACACACACCTCACAGACAGACACACACACACCTTACACACACACACCTCACAGACAGACACACACACACACCTCACAGACAGACACACACACACCTAGGACACACACACCTCACAGTCTGCAGGGTGGGATGATGAGAGTCAGAGAGGTTTCGCTTAAAAAGCTGAACTCCTGTGATGTCATATCCTCTTGGCTGTCTGACCACTCTCACACACTCACTCACACTCACTCACACACACTCTCTCACACACACAGACTGACAGTGTTGTTGTGTTGCAGGACTCTCTGGAGGAGGAGGATGACTCCGATGAAGACAACATGTAGACCCTTCTTCACTTTATTTTGTATGTTTTGTAGTTCATGTACTTTCATGTCGTTTCATTTGGTTTGAATTTCCGCTTCCAAAATAAAAAAAAAAGACCAGTTGGAGAAAGTGTGTGTTTGTTCTCGGTCTGATGAACTCATAAACGACTGACAGAGGAAAGTCAATCTTCCACTTTGTGTGTACAGAGAGATCGAGATACCGTTTCCCACAATCCAGAATATAAAAACAAATATCAAACATGTGTACACACAGTCAAAGACACATGTTGACATGTTGACACGTCACTCTTGATACTAGAGTGGATCCGCTGCTTCGTCACCCATCTGAAGAAAGGCTGGTTTTAAGCCTCACTGTTCTCATAAACTGTTTCATATTCCTCACACACTTCATGTATTTATAATATCCTGCTCTATATTTTGTACATTGGTATTTCAACATGTACATTTTCTATTTAATGCTATTTTATTTCTATTTGAGATGTATTAAGAATTGTTCGACTCTTTCATTTCTCATGTGCAATGCCTTGTGTTTTTACGCTGCTGCAACGCATCAATAAAGTGCTTATCGTAAACTAACACACGGATTATTAAGTAGTTGGAACAGTTTAAAGTGTCTCTGAACAGTCTCCATCCCTTAGCTCAGTTTAAAGTGTCTCTGAACAGTCTCCATCCCTTAGCTCAGTGTAGTAAGTGTCTCTGAACAGTCTCCATCCCTTAGCTCAGTGTAGTAAGTGTTTCTGAACAGTCTCCATCCCTTAGCTCAGTTTAAAGTGTCTCTGAACAGTCTCCATCCCTTAGCTCAGTGTAGTAAGTGTTTCTGAACAGTCTCCATCCCTTAGCGCAGTGTAGTATGTGTCCCTCACCTGTGGGACACACCTGTCTCCCAGCATGTGTTCATGTTAATAATAACTTCCACAGAGTAGCATGCCTTATATGGCTCTGACGTCAGCCTCTTCCTGTGACGTCACACGCCGTCCCCTCCGCTTCTCTTTTACAAACACCGACGGAAACTCCCGTTATTTCTCCAGAGTCTGACTAACCCTCAGGAATCGCTTCCGGGTGCTCGTGCTCTGAAACCCGGGTCCAAACATCCCATAATGTGACATCGTCTCGCGCATATAAACCACGTCGCAGAACTAGGTTAAGAAAAGAGTCCATTAAGTGTTTACAGCAGTCATTTTAAAGGAGTTCAAGACACAGTAAAGACAACAGGACGTTTATCAAAGTAAACAACCCGCCTCTTTCTTCCGGCTGAGCTGCCATGAGTGTAAACAAACACAAAGGGAACTTTTGTTTACTAATAAAGCTCCTTCCGGTTGGTTCTACCTGCTAACCGGTTATAAAGTGAGGTTTGATGGAGAATATCTGAAACTTAGTGAGTTAATATAGATATAATTAATTAATATATATCAGATACTTTAAGTACTAACTTAATAAACACAGTTTGTTTACATCCAGTCGATGAACGAGGTTAGTTCAACTCACAGATTTCTGAATGGAGTTTGGTGAGCGGATACTAGCACGTATAGGGGCGGGGCTTCCCATATACACCGGAAGCCAGCTCAGCCAATCGCAGAGCTCCATCTCCAGGCACAAAGCGCACGCGACCAATAGTACTCTCTATTTGCGGGTTTTGCTTTGATCCTCGGCTCTGATTGGCTGCGTCCCCAGCTGACAACGTCATTTCCCTCGTGGCGCCGTGTTCGTATAGACCAATAGCAACGCCAGTACGAGGTATGTCCAATTAAAACGGAGGGATCTGTTAACCAATCAGATTTCCCCGTTCTGACCGCCGCTGTCACCGCAGCCAATCAGGTGTCGGGAAACAGAGCTCCGGGCTCAACAGCTTGTTGTTCGTGAATCTGTTCGCAGAGAGAAGGAAGCGGAGAGAAAACGTGAGTATTAACCTTTAATATTAACCGTTACTTTACACCATTAGCACCATAACCCGGGGGAAATTAACAGTATAACCGGGTAGGAGCTGGATGTTACCGGGAGGAGCTGGTTCTCTCCCCGGTGGAGAGGCTTGTTTTCAGAGAACAGATGAAGAAATTAGTCTTTGTGGAGCTTCTTTTATTAAATAAATAACCCAGAGTCACGCAGTGTGTTCTTAATGTCCGTTAGTTCACCGGGAACAGGAGCTACCGTCTCAAATAGTATCAGATAGTCTGTATAAAGACACTCCGTTCATTCCTATGTAGCTGCTCACATGAAGCACTAAATAGCTCACTATGGAGAGCAAATGTACCCGGATGTGGGCCCACAGAGCATGCGCAGTGGAGTTTCCCTTAAGCCCCGCCTCCCATCTCCCGCTCTCTGTCAGTCAGATGAATGGAGAGACATAATAACTCTGGATTCAGCTTTAAAAGCATTTTACAACTTTTATACGCCAATGATTTAAATAAGGAATATACAAGAGTTCGTTTCGGGTAGTTTATTTAACTCAAATACAAATGTATGCTGATTTACAGACGTCTCTTTCCCAATGTAAGTCAACGGGGAAAAGTATTTTTGGGCCCAGTGACGTCACGGTGGTTGTAGTACCACCGGTTGGCCGCTAGGGACATTCCAAATATGGGCTTCATCTGCGGGCTCTCTTCCTGTTTGTTATCAGACGCTTTAAATGACCGTACGATCCACCAGCTAGCTTCGTTAGCATGTAGCTCCGGAGAGGAACACACGGTCCTTCCATCACAGCCGCTGTAAGGCCTCCAGGATCCGGGAGAGATACTGTGTGAGTACCCAGTCTCTGGAGGGTTCAGGAGGGGTGAGGGGGTGGGAAAGTTAGCATAGAGCTAGCAGACATGGCGGCTCAGAGAGGGAGAGTGAGAGAGAGAGAGAGGGGAGCGGGAAGGAGCTGCTGCCCGGAAAGAGGGTCTGAACTGCGGGGAGAGGGTCTGAACTGCGGGAGAGGGTCTGATCTACGGGGGGAGAGGGTCTGATCTGCGGGGGGAGAGGGTCTGATCTGCGGAGGGAGAGAGAGCCGGGGAGAGAGAGGATCTGATCTGCGGGGGGAGAGAGAGACGGGGAGAGGGTCTGATCTGCGGAGGGAGAGAGAGAGAGGGTCTGATCTGCGGGGGGAGAGAGAGCCGGGGAGAGGGTCTGATCTGCGGGGAGAGAGAGAGAGAGAGGACCAGGGTTTAGACTCAGTTTGTGCTTCAGATCTGATCTGAGGAGGAGAGCTACACAAGAAGTGAGGGCTAGCTTAGCATCAATCAACAAGCAGGACAGGGTGTCTATCTGTCTGTCTTTCTTTCTGTCTCTCTAACCTCGTGTCCTGTCTGTCTCTCTCTCTGTGTGTCTCTCTCTAACCTTGTGTCCTGTCTGTCTCTCTGTCTCTCTCTAACCTCGTGTCCTGTCTGTCTGTCTCTCTATGTGTGTCTCTCTCTAACCTCGTGTCCTCTCTGTCTTTCAGAGATCACCATCTTCCGAGCTGGACTCCCTCAAATAGCCGGCGAGATGAAGGTGAGTGTGGAGACCTGGTCCTGGTGGTCCCAGTAGAGACCGTCTCTGCTGGTCCTGGTGGTCCCAGTAGAGACCGTCTCTGCCCAGTTTAAACTCAGTCAGTTTACTAAGACTCTCACAGATGGACCTGTGTCAAGTGAACCCTCTCCATGTTGTTGTGACGTCTCTGTCTCCGACACATAAACTGATAAATACTCAAGCTACTGGCAGGATGCTGGAGACAGTACGACCAGTACATAGACACCAGCAGGACATCTTGAACTGGTTTAGAGACACCTGGTCAAGAGAACAGGTGAACACTGAGACAGTACAGAGACACCTGATGTTAACCTGTGGATCTGCTGCTGAGATACAACACATTGCTTGTTAGTTAAAACAGTAAGAGGACGTTATTCAATGACCACAACAAGCTTTCTATCTATACTCAAAACCTCCAGAGACGCATCCAGAGACGCATCCAGAGACGCATCCAGAGACGCATCCAGAGACACATCCAGAGACACATCCAGAGACACATCTAGAGACACATCCAGAGACACATCTAGAGACACATCCAGAGACACATCCAGAGACACATCCAGAGACACATCCAGAGACACATCCAGAGACACATCCAGAGACACATCCAGAGACACATCTAGAGACACATCTAGAGACGCATCCAGAGACGCATCCAGAGACGCATCCAGAGACGCATCCAGAGACGCATCCAGAGACGCATCCAGAGACACCTCCAGAGACACCTCCAGAGACACCTCCAGAGACACATCTAGAGACACATCCAGAGACACATCCAGAGACACATCCAGAGACACATCCAGAGACACATCCAGAGACACATCCAGAGACACATCTAGAGACACATCTAGAGACACCTCCAGAGACACCTCCAGAGACACCTCCAGAGACACCTCCAGAGACACATCCAGAGACACATCCAGAGACACATCCAGAGACACATCCAGAGACACATCTAGACATCAGGACAAGGAATAACACTTATATAAACTGTCCAGCCAATCACAAGCAGTCTTTATATCCTTACATCTGTATCACGTGTTAGATCTCTGTACACAGAGCTCCGTCAGTCCGTCACACGTAGCTCCGTCAGTCCGTCACACGTAGCTCCATCACAGCCGTATACACTGAGAGGAACAGAGACAGATTACTGTGAGAGATGAACTGATCCCTTCTCAGTTCTTATGCTGCGTTCACACCGGACGCGATGCGAATAATCGCTCCTATCGCATCGCTCTAAACGCTCGAGTTTCACCGCGGCTGCCAGCTGTGTTTACTCTCATCATTCAAACAAGACGCGCTGGCTCGGGGGCTACAACTACAACAACATGAACATATTTTACCTTGATTAAATTGTAATACACGTTTCTAAATGATGCCGAAGTAACAACATACTGATACCGGTTAGTAAAAACCATGAATTAATGCTTTGACAAGTCTGCAGACAGACGGCAGGAGAAAAACCTTTTAAAATGCTTGTTTTCTGAATGAAGATCGGGTCGACCAGGCTAATATGCTCATTCCACACTCATAACAACGGCCTACAGACATAAATAAACCAGCGACTGTATTCTCCATGACACAGACAGTCTGTGGTTTGTACTTGTTTAACTTTTGTCCAGTTTCTGAACAGATATGAGGAGCTGTGAGCTCTGTGTGCTAACTGCTAACAGCTAACGGCTGATGTTTTCTGGTTGAACGTCAGTGACGGCGGCTGAGATCCTCACCGCTGATTGGCTTCCGCGAGAACGCGTCATGTGAATTTGACGCTCGAGTTGAAAAAATGGAACTCTCGCGTTTGACGCGGCACCGTTCAATCGCGTGATTCGCGCCGCGTCCACCGCTTCATGCGCACAGTCGGAGCGAATTCGCGTCTGTCCGCGTCTCTGCATTGACTTTACATGTAATCGCGCCGCCCCCAAACATCGCATCGCGTCCGGTGTGAACGCAGCATTAGACCCTGCTACAGATCTACAGGATTTCACCACAACAACAAGAGAGCAGTCAAAACCATTTAGTCCCCATGATGACATATGACAAAATAATTAATTAATGGAAAAGCATGAACAGAAACCAGGTTCAGTCACACTCTGACGTATAGAGCGTCACATTTAAAGAGTCCTATTGGTTCCTTAAAGTCTTTATAGTTAAACTGTCTGGAACCAGTCTGTAAGAGGGAGAAACTCATGCTAACGCTAGCAGCTAAAGAGGCTAATCGGAGACAGCTTCAACATCTCCCTCTGTGTGCCGCAGTGCATGCTGGGAGAGTGTGTGTGTGTGTTACTGATGTGTGTGTGTGTTGCAGGCAGCAGAAGAGCCTCCCTACCTGTCCGTGGGGACGGATGTTAGCGCCAAATACAGAGGAGCCTTCTGCGAGGCCAAGATCAAGACCGTGAAGCGCATGGTGAAGGTCAAGGTAAGAACCAGAACCCTCAGAACCAGGTCCAGGACTAGAATCAGGACCAGAACTAGAACCAGGATTAGAACCAGGTCCAGTTGCAGAACCTGGTCTAGGTCCAGAACCAGGACCTTTTACTGTCAGTCCATCTGTCTGTCCTCACAGCTGATAGACCAGGACGTGTCTCTATCCTCACAAAGTGTCTCTGTACCTGTTGGGGTTAATGTATTCCCTTCAGAAATTAACCCCCATGTGTCTCTGTGTCCTCTCTCTCTCTGTCCTCTGTGTGTCTCTGTGTCCTCTCTCTGTCCTCTGTGTGTCTCTGTCCTCTGTGTCCTCTCTCTCTCTGTGCTCTGTGTGTCTCTGTGTCCTCTCTCTGTCCTCTGTGTGTCTCTGTGTCCTCTCTCTCTCTGTCCTCTGTGTGTCTCTGTGTCCTCTCTGTGTGTCTCTGTGTCCTCTCTCTCTCTGTGCTCTGTGTGTCTGTGTCCTCTCTCTGTCCTCTGTGTGTCTCTGTCCTCTCTCTCTCTGTCCTCTGTGTCCTCTCTCTCTCTCTCTCTGTCCTCTGTGTGTCTCTGTCCTCTCTCTCTCTGTCCTCTGTGTCCTCTCTCTCTCTGTCCTCTGTGTGTCTCTGTCCTCTGTGTGTCTCTGTCCTCTGTGTGTCTCTGTGTCCTCTCTCTCTGTCCTCTGTGTGTCTCTGTGTCCTCTCTCTCTGTCCTCTGTGTGTCTCTGTCCTCTCTCTCTCTGTCCTCTGTGTCCTCTCTCTCTCTGTCCTCTGTGTGTCTCTGTGTCCTCTCTCTCTGTCCTCTGTGTGTATCTCTGTCCTCTCTCTCTCTCTCTCTCTGTCCTCTCTGTGTCTCCAGGTGAGCCTGAAAGGTGAGAGCACGTCTCAGGTGGTCCAGGACGACCAGGTGAAAGGAGCCCTGAAGGTGAGGACCACTTTAGAGTCTATAGAGTCTCTGTCTTGAATGTCTCTGTCTCTAACTGAGTGCTCTGATGTGCAGGTGGGCTCCACGGTGGAGGTGAAGACTAACGAGGGTCTGAGCAGCGAGGCGGTCATCAGCAAGCTGACAGACGCCAGCCTCTACACCGTGGGTGAGTCTCTGATCAGGGTCTCTCAGCAGGGGGGACCATCAGGGGGTCTCTCAGCAGGGGGGGGACCATCAGGGGGTCTCTCAGAAGGGGGGGGGGGGGGGCGCATCAGGGGGTCTCTCAGCAGAGGGGACCATCAGGACCATCAGGGGGTCTCTCAGCAGGGGGGGGGGCATCAGGGGGTCTCTCAGCAGGGGGGACCATCAGGGGGTCTCTCAGCAGGGGGGGACCCATCAGGACCATCAGGGGGTCTCTCAGCAGGGAGGGGGCCAGCAGGGGGGACCATCAGGACCATCAGGGGGTCTCTTAGCAGGGGGGCACAGTAAAGGAGGACCTGTTGTTGTTGTTGTTGACAGGCCGCTCAAACATCTCTTTATCTTTGTGGATTTATAAGTATAATGTTTGGTGCTGTCTTCAGAGAAAATGTAGTTTTTGAAACTCTAATAAAGTGTCTTCAAGCAAAACACATTTAGAGGTCCCCTATCATGCAGAAGTCCCTTCCTGATGTCTTCTCTACGTCACGGTGTGTCCCTGGTGTGTGCCCGGTGTGTCAGGAGACTCACAAAGAGTCAGGAAATAAACCCCTCTCTCTTTTCCTCCGTACCCACATCTCTAAAAACGGGGGAACAACGGAGCTGATCCAGATTTGCTGCGTCATGACGACATTACTAAAATGTGGGCGGGCTTTACACCCACGGGCCAATCAGAAACGTTGCTGTCAGAAACAATGAGACGTGTTCTGGAAGTAATACGGTCTGTGTTTACATTAGCATGCTAACACTCAGAGCTAACCTGTACTGGAGAGAGCATGTGTAAAGAAGCAGGAAATCAAAAGGAACTCACCTTGTGGTAAACCTGAGAGAGAGAAAGAGTTTGAGCTCCATACTGTTTCAGAGAGAATCCTTGATGTGGTTTGGAACATGATATGGAGTTTCAGAGAGAACCCTTGATGTGTGATGGAGAGGGAGAATCCTTGATGTGTGATGAAGAAGGAGAGAACCCTTGATGTGTGATGAAGATGAGGGGATCAGATGCTCCTCTCCTCCACTGTAGACCAATAGGAGACCTTTAAAGCAACAAAACATTTAAATACAAAAAATCCACTGTAGAGACGGGACGCTGTAATTGGCTGTTGGTGAAGGATGATAATGAAACACTGTGATTGGCTGATAATGGAGCGCTGTGATTGGCTGTCGGGGAGGAGTGATGAAGATGAGAACGGTTTCGCTAAAACTGCTGATATCATGTGATGTCACAACTTCTCTTGGCTGTCTGACCAATCTGCTGCCAGCTCACCTCCAGCTCATTATGGGATGTTACAGAGACATGTTTACTGTCATTAACTGGTGTGTGTGTGTGTGTGTGTGGACATGGTGGTCCTCTGCTGATATCATGTGATGTCACAACTTCTCTTGGCTGTCTGACCAATCCGCTGCCAGCTCACCTCCAGCTCATTATGGGATGTTACAGAGACATGTTTACTGTCATTAACGTGTGTGTGTGTGTGTGTCAGTGTTTGATGATGGAGATGAGAAGACTCTTCGTCGTACGTCTCTGTGTCTGAAGGGAGAGAGACACTTTGCAGAGAGCGAGGTAAGGGACTACTTTCTACTCCTGTATCCTTCCACCACACACACACACATAGGGACTACTTTCTACACCTATATCCTTCCACCCCTCTCACTGGTGAAATGTTGTCAGCTGTTATTAAGTAATACAGTTAGTTTGAAAGATGTAACTCTGATATGTACCTCTGATGTGTGTGTAACTCTGGTGTGTGTGTACACCTGATGTGTGTGTGTACCTCTGATGTGTGTGGGTGTAACTATGTGTGTACCTCTGATGTGTGTGTGTGTAACCTGACATGTGTGTAACTATGTGTGTACCTGTGTGTGTGTAACTGTTTGTACCTGTGTGTGTGTGTAACTGTTTGTACCTGTGTGTGTAACTATGTGTGTACCTGTGTGTGTGTGTGTGTAACTGTTTGTACCTGTGTGTGTGTGTAACTGTTTGTACCTGTGTGTGTAACTGGGTGTGTACCTGTGTGTGTACCTGTGTGTGTGTGTAACTGTAACGGTGTGTACCTGTGTGTGTACGTGTGTGTAACTGTGTGTGTAACTGTGTGTACCTGTGTGTGTAACTGTTTGTACCTGTGTGTGTAACTGTTTGTAACTGTGTGTACCTGTGTGTGTAACTGTTTGTACCTGTGTGTGTAACTGTGTGTGTGTGTACCTGGGTGTGTACCTGTGTGTAACTGTTTGTACCTGTGTGTGTGTGTGTGTGTGTGTGTGTAACTGTTTGTACCTGTGTGTATGTACCTGGGTGTGTACGTGTGTGTGTGTGTGTGTGTAACTGTTTGTACCTGTGTGTGTACCATGTCTCAGACTCTGGACCAGCTGCCTCTCACCAACCCGGAGCACTTCGGCACGCCGGTCATCGGGAAGAAGAAGAACCGCGGGGGGCGGCGCTCCTCCCAGGCTGTGTGAGTTTCAACAACCTTTATTTAAACCACAGGACAATAACAGAGGGTATCAAATAATAACAATAACAAAGGAGGTTAAAGTAGGATTAACTTCTCACCTCTCTCTCTCTCTCACCTCTCTCTCTCTCTCTCTCTCTCTCTCACACCTCTCTCTCTCTCATCTCTCTCTCCTCTCTCTCTCTCATCTCTCCCCCCCCTCCTCTCTCCCCCCTCTCTCCCCTCTCTCGTCTCCTTCATCTCTCTCTCTCTCTCTCTCACACCGAGCCTCTCTCATCTCTCTCTCCCTCTCACTCAACTCTCACCCTCTTCTCATCTCTCCTCTCTCTCTCTCTCTCACCTCTCTCTCTCTCATCTCTCTCTCATCTCTCTCACCTCTCTCTCTCTCATCTCTCTCTCTCTCATCTCTCTCATCTCTCTCTCTCTCTCTCTCACCTCTCTCATCTCTCTCTCTCATCTCTCTCACCTCTCTCTCACCTCTCTCTCTCTCATCTCTCTCTCTCTCTCTCATCTCTCTCTCTCTCTCACCTCTCTCTAACCTGTCTCTCGCTCTCTCTCTCACCTGTCTCTCTCTAACCTGTCTCTCCCTCCCTCTCTCTAACGTGTCTCTCTCTCTAACCCCCCCCCCCCTCAGGGCTGATGAGGATCACTCTTCCTCCTCCAGTGATGAAGAGGAGGTTAACCGCAGGAGGCTGAATGATGAGCTGCTGGGGAAGATCTGCAGCATCGAGAGTGAGGAGGAGATCAGCAACTGGTACCTGGCTCTGGTAAACACACACACACACACACACACACACACACACACACACATTCCTCAGGTAGAGATATTGATGTGTGTGTGTGTGCAGGTGGTGTCTCCCAGCTGTAACGATGAGCTTCAGGTGAAGAAGGATCAGTGTCTGGTCAGGAGCTTCAGCGACGCCAAGTTGTGAGTTTATTTACCTCACCTGTCTCCAAATATCACCTGTCCCACCGTCTTCCTGTCTCACCTGTCTTCCTGTCTCACCTGTCTTCCTGTCTCACCTGCTTCCTGTCTCACCTGTCTTCCTGTCTCACCTGTCTTCCTGTCTCACCTGCTTCCTGTCTCACCTGTCACCTGTCTCCCTGCAGCTTCACGGTGGCCAGGAGACACGTCCACACCGTCACCACGGCCGGCGCCTCCAGGTCTGAGTTTTCCACCAGGAAAGGTAAGACTACATCTCCCACAATGCACTGGGGCACAGTCTCTGGGACATTAGTTCATTAAAGTGATGACTGGTGACGTGTCTCCAGGCTTCGAGCTGGCGCAGGTGTTCCTGAGGACAGGTGAGATCCCTGAGCTGTGGAAGATGGACATGAGTCAGATCCTGGACTCGTCCTCCAGCGATGAAGAGGAGGAGGAGAAGGAGAGCGATGAAGACCATGAGCAGGACGAGGAGAAGAAGAAGAAAAAGAAGCACACCAAGGAGGAGGTGAGGGGGGGTTTCAGACAGGGTCCAGAGCAGTGGCGTAGCTGTGGGTGGGACATGCACGTCTGGCCCACCCACAGCCAATCAGCGCGTTATAGCGCAGAGCCGGGAAGCCCAGAAGCAAGTGCCACAAACTGCAGTTCCTCTAGTGGCCGACAGGGGATGGATGCAGAAAGGAGCCACCCCCAGAGACCCCCATGTTAAAATGCCCAACTTTACAGCAGAAATAGACATGTTTCTAGCTAGATCCAATCAAACTTATTCTGGATATAGTTAAATTCCACTTTCATGACAATGGAATAGGGAGTGCATTTACCGTGAGTAAATTAGTAAGTAAAGTAAGTTTTGCCGTGAGTGAATGAAAGTCTTATTTCTTCTTGAGGTCTGCAGTGAAGCGTGTGCACATGTGCTGAATATGAAAATACTCTCAGTGTGTGCCCACTGTGCGACTGTCAAGGATAAACAACCTGTGGCCGCCGAGCCAGTCATGTGTAGGGATGGGTACCGGGCCCCGGTGTTGTGTCAAATGATGCACCTCCGTCGTGAAATGCACGCCTTGACACGGGAACGCGCATTTGAATGTATAGTCCGTTATTCTATGCTGTCTTTTTGATGGTTGGGTTGTCGAATCCTGGATTTTGCATTCATTCGTCACGGGCCCCAGGGCTGAATTATTAAAGACCGTGGTACCATTAAGCTCCGACGTTATCGGTCGGTACTGGAGAGAGACATGTAAAAAATATATAACACAAAACATTATATTGCAGTTTTAGTGTCGCCAACTCCGTTTCTAATACGCAAAAAGACAGCAAAATGCGTCTATGATTATTTTTAGTATTTTAGATCTTTCCAATCCCCGTCTGTGTGCGAGGGGGCGGGGCAGTTTACACACACACACACACGGAGGAGATGGCGGAGAGAACTCGCTCCGAGGTGTGGTTAAACTTTACCTGTCTCGCTCGTTGCCTAAAGTGCAATAAGAGTTTAGCATGTGAGGGCGGTAACACGAGCAATCTGTCTAAACATTTAGCAAAAGTGCACCACATCCAGACGGAGAAATGCACCGGGTTCGACTGTCTCTCTAGTAGCTCTGTAGCCCCATCCACGAGTAACGTTTCCACGTCAGGTGTTATGTATGCTAGCAGCAACACACGGAGCTAACTCTATGATACAAACATGGGTTAATGATTAGAGGGAACTGAGTTATTTAGTTTGTTAAAGTTTCAGCCATTCTGTTCACAGTTCTGTCATCAGATTATTTAATACCATGTGTTAAAACATTGTTGTTTCTTTTGATGTGAAATATTATGTATTTAATTTAAATAAAAAGCAATGTTAGTTTTGTTCACAATTTGTTTAGTTAGTTTACCTTATTTTTTTCTCCAAAAGAACCGATAAAAGTACCGTTAAAGCACCGGATCGATAAGCGGTATCGATAAAAGTAGTAGTAGTCCTACCGTTAAAACCGTAACGATACCCATCCCTTGTCATGTGGACGATACCCATCCCTAGTCAGGTGGACGATACCCATCCCTAGTCAGGTGGACGATACCCATCCCTAGTCATGTGGACGATACCCATCCCTAGTCAGGTGGATGTCAGTTTCACATTCTGAGGCCGCCGGGCCTATGCTTTTGTTTTCACTGCTAGTTTATGCTTATGTTCAATTAGTGCATTAAAATCATTAATGAAGTTTCAGCTCAGACCCCACGCTTAATAAGTCTCCCCCTGGCCCACCTACATTTCTCCAGGCCCATCCACACAATCATTCCTGGCTACGCCACTGGTCCAGAGGGAGAGCAGGGAGCAGCTGGGGGTTCGGTGCCTTGCCTTGGATCTTCCTCAGAACTCTGCTGCAGTTCATGTGATGTTAACCTGTCTCTCTGTCTCCTCCTCTCTCTCCTCCTGTCTGTCTCTCTCTCTGTCTGTCTCTCTGTCTCCTCCTCTCTGTCTCTCTCTCTCTCCTCCTGTCTGTCTCTCTCTCTGTCTGTCCTCCTGTCTGTCTCTCTCTCTGTCTGTCCTCCTGTCTCTCTGCAGCCGGAGGAGGAGTCGGACCCAGAAGAGAGAGATGTGTTCCTGCAGCAGCTCTACAAGTTCATGGAGGACCGAGGTGAGACCTGGTGATTCACATGGTGGTGGGGGTCTTCATCAGCTGCTGGTTCCCTCTAACATCTGTCTGTCTCTCTGTCTGTCTGTCTGTCTCTCCATCTGTCTGTCTCTCTGTCCATCTGTCTGTCTCTCCATCTGTCTGTCTCTGCATCTGTCTGTCTCTCCGTCTGTCTGTTTGTCTGTCTGTCCATCTGTCTGTCTCTCCATCTGTCTGTCTCTCCATCTGTCTGTCTCTCCATCTGTCTGTCTGTCGTCTCTGTCTGTCTCTCTCTCCATCTGTCTCTTTGTCTGTCTCTCTCTCTGTCTCTCTGTCTGTCTCTCTCTCTGTCTCTCTGTCTGTGTCTGTCTCTCTGTCTGTGTCTGTCTCTCTATATGTCTGTCTGTCTCTCTGTCTGTGTCTGTCTGTCTCTCTGTCTGTGTCTGTCTCTCTGTCTGTGTCTGTCTCTCCATCTGTCTCTCTCTCAGGGACTCCCATCAACAAGCCTCCAGTCCTGGGCTACAAAGACCTGAACCTCTTCAAGCTCTTCAGACTGGTCTACCTGCAGGGGGGCTGCCACAAGGTGAGTCTCACCTGTCCTCTGACTGCTGTCTCTATGTCCTGATGTCCTCTCACCTGTGTGACGCTGTGATGTCACGACCTGTCTTACAGATAGAGTCTGGCACGGTGTGGAAGCAGGTCTACGTGGACCTGGGGATCCCCGTCCTGAACTCAGCGGCGTCCTACAACGTGAAGACGGCCTACAGGAAGTAAGAGTTGTTATTAAATAAACTGTGTCTCCCAGACCTCCCAGTAACCCTCTCCCAGACCTCCCAGTAACCCTCTCCCAGCCCTCCCAGTAACCCTCTCCCCAGCTCTCCCAGTAAACCTCTCCCAGTAACCCTCTCCCAGTAGTCCTCCCAGTAACCCTCTCCCAGTAACCCTCTCCCAGTCCTCCCAGTAACCCTCTCCCAGTCCTCCCAGTAACCCTCTCCCAGTAACCCTCTCCCAGCCCTCCAAGTAACCCTCTCCCAGTCCTCCCAGTAACCCTCTCCCAGTCCTCCCAGTAACCCTCTCCCAGTCCTCCCAGTAACCCTCTCCCAGTCCTCCCAGTAACCCTCTCCCAGTCCTCCCAGTAACCCTCTCCCAGTAACCCTCTCCCAGTCCTCCCAGTAACCCTCTCCCAGTCCTCCCAGTAGCCCTCTCCCAGTCCTCCCAGTATCCCTCTCCCAGTCCTCCCAGTAACCCTCTCCCTCCCCTCAGGTACCTGTATGGGTTTGAGGAGTACTGCCGCTCGGCCTCCATCAGTTTCAGAACCATCCATCACAACAACCCCCGTCACCCCCCCTCACCGGCCAATCAGAAGCCAGCGGGGCCCAAGCCTAAAGCGTCTCCAAAGGAGGAAGGGGAGGAGTCGGAGGAGGAAGTGAAGGAGACGCAGACGTCCCCCCGGGTGAGACGGGAGACCCATCCCCCCCCCCCAATATGTTTATAATAAGTGCTGACTTTTATATTTACTTTAACCCATAAGAACCCACGCTGACAGACATGACATCTAAACGTTCTGGAAAGTTCCTTACTTCAGGGTTAGCCTTTATTTGATCTCATGAAGTCCCTCAGTGACACACACTGAACAGTCTGGAGGGCCATGGGCCAGGTCATGTGACTTTGTGTTCCCTTGACAACATGTCCATGGGCCAGGTCATGTGATTTAGTGTTCCCATGACAACATGTCCAACATGTCCATGGGCCAGGTCATGTGACTTTGTGTTCCCTTGACAACATGTCCATGGGCCAGGTCATGTGATTTAGTGTTCAAGCCATATACTGTATGTCACTTTTCAGATCTCTGACACTAGGGGGCGTTTCTTGTCAGACATGTGTTCTATGTGGCACTCTAGTCAGTCTACATGATGTTCCCCATAATTCTCCCAAAAGTAGAAATGGCTCCGGGGTCCGATGGGTTAAATTACTTTGTTTGTATTAATATTCTTGTGTAGGGGAGGAGGAGCCATCTGAAGCCAGAGAGAGGCTCTCCCTTCAGACCAGGATCAGGTCCTGGATCAGGTGGTCCAAGATCAGGACCAGGATCAGGTGGTCCAGGATCAGGTGGTCCAGGATCAGGTGGTCCAAGATCAGGACCAGGATCAGGTCCAAGATCAGGTAGTCCAGGATCAGGTGGTCCAGGATCAGGTCCAAGATCAGGACCAGGATTAGGTCCAAGATCAGGTCCAGGATCAGGTGGTCCAAGATCAGGTGGTCCAGGATCAGGAGGAGGTCCAGGATCAGGAGAAGGAGAAGGATCAGGTCCAGGATCAGGACCAGGGTCAGAGTACAGTGAGGAGCTGAGGGAGCTGAGGAGGCGCAGCAACAGGAGGACGGATGACTCTGAGGACGAAGACGATGAAGAAGACGATGAAGAGGAGGAGGACGAGGAGAGGAGGAGAGAAGGGTGAGACAGACGTTACCTGAACAAGTCCAAACAGAGGAGGTCAGGAGGGTCGTTTCTGATGTGTGTGTGTGTTCAGGGCGGAGGAAGAGGACGGAGACTCGGTGATGGGGACGAAGGTGAGGGTGAAGTACGGCAGAGGAAAGACTCAGAAGATCTACGAGGCGCACATCAAGAAGAGGGACAACGACAACGGGGAGCAGTTCTTCCTCGTGCACTACTTCGGCTGGAACGTCAGGTGAGGGGCGGGGCCAAATGTTTTTAGAGGCGGGGCCTGGTGTTATAGAGGAGGGACATGGTGTTTTTAGAGGCGGGGCCTGGTGTTATAGAGGAGGGACATGGTGTTTTTAGAGGCGGGCCTGGTGTTATAGAGGAGGGACATGGTGTTTTTAGAGGCGGGGCCTGGTGTTATAGAGGAGGGACATGGTGTTTTTAGAGGCGGGGCCTGGTGTTATAGAGGAGGGACATGGTGTTTTTAGAGGCGGGGCCTGGTGTTATAGAGGAGGGACATGGTGTTTTTAGAGGTGGGGGTGGGACATAATATGTGTTAGAGGCGGGGCCTAATGTGTTTAGAGGCAGGGTCTAACTGCTGTCTCCTCCTCAGGTACGATGAGTGGGTGAAGGCGGACCGGATCATCTGGCCGGTGGAGAAAGGCACGAAGAAGAGGAGGAGAAAGAAGGTGAAGGTGAGCTCCTGTGATGTCACTTCCTGTGGGCGGGGAGAGGTGACGGACAGGTGCTCTGGTACTTCTGACATCACTTCCTTTAGAGCAACATGTCTGACTGTCTGTCCTCCTGCAGAACAAAGAGGATGCAGAGCGAGAGGAGCCCCCCTCCCTGCCTCCAGATCTGAAGCCTCCTGGGGGAAGGAGGGGCCGTCCTCAGACCAGGACCCCCCCCACAGCAGGACGCAGCGTCTCAGACACTCCCAGCAGCGAGGGGCGGACCAATGGGAGGATGGAGGAGACGCCCTCCAGCCTCAACGGAGACAGTAAGACACAACTTTCTGTTTAGAGACGAGTGGAGGTCAGGGAGGGTCATCTGAGAGGGTTTAGACCAGTCAACGGGGAGGTTAGAGACCAGTTAACGGGGAGGTTAGAGACCAGTTAACGGGGAGGTTAGAGACCAGTTAACGGGGAGGTTAGAGACCAGTTAACGGGGGGTTAGAGACCAGTTAACGGGGGGTTAGAGACCAGTTAACGGGGTATAGACCAGTTAACGGGGGGGGTTAGAGACCAGTTAACGGGGAGGTTAGAGACCAGTTAACGGGGGGGTTAGAGACCAGTTAACGGGGTATAGACCAGTTAACGGGGGGGTTAGAGACCAGTTAACGGGGTATAGACCAGTTAATGGGGGGGTTAGAGACCAGTTAACGGGGGGTTAGAGACCAGTTAACGGGGGGTTAGAGACCAGTTAACGGGGTATAGACCAGTTAACGGGGGGGGTTAGAGACCAGTTAACGGGGGTAGAGACCAGTTAACTGGGGTAGAGACCAGTTAACTGGGGTAGAGACCAGTTAACTGGGGTAGAGACCAGTTAACTGGGGTAGAGACCAGTTAACGGGGGTAGAGACCAGTTAACTGGGGTAGAGACCAGTTAACGGGGGTAGAGACCAGTTAACTGGGGTAGAGACCAGTTAACGGGGATAGAGACCAGTTAACGGGGGTAGAGACCAGTTAACTGGGGGAGAGACCAGTTAACTGGGGGAGAGACCAGTTAACTGGGGGAGAGACCAGTTAACTGGGGGAGAGACCAGTTAACGGGGGTTAGAGACCAGTTAACGGGGGGGGGTTAGAGACCAGTTAACGGGGGGGGTTAGAGACCAGTTAACGGGGTATAGACCAGTTAACGGGGTATAGACCAGTTAACGGGGGGGTTAGAGACCAGTTAACGGGGAGGTTAGAGACCAGTTAACGGGGAGGTTAGAGACCAGTTAACGGGGGGGTTAGAGACCAGTTAACGGGGTATAGACCAGTTAACGGGGAGGTTAGAGACCAGTTAACGGGGGGGGTTAGAGACCAGTTAACGGGGTATAGACCAGTTAATGGGGGGGTTATAGACCAGTTAACGGGGGGGGTTAGAGACCAGTTAACGGGGAGGTTAGAGACCAGTTAACGGGGGGTTAGAGACCAGTTAACGGGGGGTTAGAGACCAGTTAACGGGGTATAGACCAGTTAACGGGGGGGGGTTAGAGACCAGTTAACGGGGGTAGAGACCAGTTAACTGGGGTAGAGACCAGTTAACGGGGGTAGAGACCAGTTAACGGGGGTAGAGACCAGTTAATTGGGTTAGAGACCAGTTAACGGGGATAGAGACCAGTTAACGGGGGTAGAGACCAGTTAACTGGGGGAGAGACCAGTTAACTGGGGGAGAGACCAGTTAACTGGGGGAGAGACCAGTTAACTGGGGTAGAGACCAGTTAACTGGGGGTAGAGACCAGTTAACGGGGGGGGTTAGAGACCAGTTAACGGGGGGGGTTAGAGACCAGTTAACGGGGTATAGACCAGTTAACGGGGGGGTTAGAGACCAGTTAACGGGGAGGTTAGAGACCAGTTAACGGGGAGGTTAGAGACCAGTTAACGGGGAGGTTAGAGACCAGTTAACGGGGAGGTTAGAGACCAGTTAACGGGGAGGTTAGAGACCAGTTAACGGGGGGGTTAGAGACCAGTTAACGGGGTATAGACCAGTTAACGGGGAGGTTAGAGACCAGTTAACGGGGGGGGTTAGAGACCAGTTAACGGGGTAGAGACCAGTTAACGGGGTAGAGACCAATTAACGGGTAGAGACTGGTTAACGGGGGTACAGACCACAGGGTTCTTACGGTCATTAAAAACCTGGAAAAGTCATGGAAATTCAAAATGCTAATTCCAGGCCCTGGAAAAGTTATGGAAAACAATATTTTTCCCAAAGTTTTGGAAAAGTCATGGAAATGTAACTAAAGTTGCATCAAATATAATTTATATTTTATCTAATCAGATAGGAGTGGGGTAGAGACCAGTTAACGGGGGTTAGAGACCAGTTAACGGGGGGGGGTTAGAGACCAGTTAACGGGGGGGGTTAGAGACCAGTCAACGGGGTATAGACCAGTTAACGGGGGGGTTAGAGACCAGTTAACGGGGAGGTTAGAGACCAGTTAACGGGGAGGTTAGAGACCAGTTAACGGGGAGGTTAGAGACCAGTTAACGGGGGGGTTAGAGACCAGTTAACGGGGTATAGACCAGTTAACGGGGAGGTTAGAGACCAGTTAACGGGGGGGGTTAGAGACCAGTTAACGGGGTAGAGACCAGTTAACGGGGTAGAGACCAGTTAACGGGTAGAGACTGGTTAACGGGGGTACAGACCACAGGGTTCTTACGGTCATTAAAAACCTGGAAAAGTCATGGAAATTCAAAATGCTAATTCCAGGCCCTGGAAAAGTTATGGAAAACAATATTTTTCCCAAAGTTTTGGAAAAGTCATGGAAATGTAACTAAAGTTGCATCAAATATAATTTATATTTTATCTAATCGCCGAAATATTAATACTATAATGATAATAAATACTGTATAGTAATGAAACGTAAAATGGCATTTAACTGTCGAGGTATTTTGCTGGTGAGAGATTTTAGTTGCTTTAGCGTGTAGAAGCTAGTAAGCCTACTATTTGATTTGTTTTAGATAGGCACAACATGTTTCATATGCAGACCTTATTTTCCTGTTCCATGTTAAAATAAACCATTTTCAGTGGTACCGCTGAGAAAGAGTAATTTGTTTGGTCATGGAAAATTAGGTAAAGGTCATGGAAAAGTCATTGGTGAAAAGGTGTATGAACCCTGAGACCAGTTAACGGGGAGGTTAGAGACCAGTTAACGGGGAGGATAGAGACCAGTTAAAGGGGATAGAGACCAGTTAACTGGGGTGTAGACTAGTTAACTGGGGTAGAGACCAGTTAACTGGGGTGTAGAGACCAGTTAACTGGGGTGTAGACTAGTTAACTGGGGTAGAGACCAGTTAACTGGGGTAGAGACCAGTTAACTGGGGTGTAGAGACCAGTTAACGGGGATAGAGACCAGTTAACGGGGATAGAGACCAGTTAACGGGGATAGAGACCAGTTAACGGGGATAGAGACCAGTTAACGGGGGTAGAGACCAGTTAACGGGGGTAGAGACCAGTTAACTGGGGTAGAGGCCAGTTAACTGGTCTCTACCCCCGTTAACCGGGCGGATAAACGCGTCATTTGCAGGAAACAACGTCTAAGGAATCTTAATATTTAATAAACTATGAATGTTTTATATCCATGTAACGGGAAGAAACTCAGCTAACTGATCTTTTTTTTTTTAAATAAAAAAAAAAAACAATGCTAACACTCAGCCTCTGAATTAGCCACGAGCGAAAAAAATGTAACCTATCTCTGCAACTAAACTCACAATAACTCCCTTATTACTTATCCTAGATGCACAGCCAACCACTCGTTTTGGGTCCCCTGGAGACACAGAATCGTTTGGTGCCCACCTCAACACTCAGTGATAAACATTTGCGACGCTATAAACGAAAGCGTACATCCAGGGTTCCCGCGGGGTCTTAAAAAGTCTTAAATTTGATCATCTGAATTTAAGGCCTTAAAAAGGTCTTAAATATGACCAAAAAAATAAGAAAGGTCTTAAATATGATTTAGAAGGTCTTAAAAATGATGGGATTTGAAAGGTACTTCTGTGTTGCGATCGCGTCTAAATGTGTTTTGGGGGAAATGTCCGGGCTGCAAAGTAACCTGTACGGTAAGAGCCTTTCAGTTCCCCCCAACAATCTGTATTGAAATAAATCAACATGGAACCAGTAATCACTAACTTTGTTTCCCCCGGCCCCTTATTGGAGAACACCCAGCTAGTAACCTATAGCAACCAAGCTTCAGCTAGCGGCAGTCAGAAACTCATGTATCTTCAAATCTACTTACAAATAAATATGGGGAAGTGTAAGTTCAACCGTATTTGGTTGGAAAACATCGAATTTAGTGCTTGGTTGAAACCAGTGGAGGGAACGTGTTTGAAGCCCGCTGCACCTTTTGCAATATACATTTGCGTTTGTTTTGCTAATGTAGCGTTAGCTAGTGCAGCAGCTCCCGCAACAACACCGGGGGACCTCCGGGTGACGTTTGGGTCTACGTCAACCCTAAAAGCGGAGGTGCTGTCGACGCTAAATACCGTAGTTAAACACCAATCATACAACAGCAACGATGAAAAATTGTAGCCAAGGCAGCAGAGCTCTGAATAGCTCCTGTCACTCTCTCACTCTCTCTCTCTCACACACACACACACACACACACACACACACACACACACACACACACACTAGGGCTGCTCGATTAGGGCAAAAATCATAATCACGATTATTAAATACCATTATTCATTGATTTTGAAAACATCCATTTATTGAACTTTAAAACAAATAATAATTTGAACAGTATCTTTTTAACTGTTGATTACCCTGAACCTTTATATATACAGTCTATGCCCTGAACGTATAATTCAACTGAAAAACCAATACAAAAATGAATGATACATTTAAATAAATAATATCAAAATAATAAATACCAATAAACAAGATCTCCAAATATTTTGGAGCGCACTTCCACAAGCTACTAAACATATATAAATATGATAAATAAAAATAAATTAGACTAAAATTAATTAGATCAAATATGTTCTAGTGCACTGTCACAACCTAGCAAAGCAAAATAATCGTTTTTGTCGATTATGTTGTTTTCGTAATTGTGGCAGGCCAAAATCGTAATTGCGATTAAAATACGATTAATTGCACAGCCCTAACACACACACACACACACTTTTTGTCTAACACGCTAACACAGTTCTGGACTGTTATGCTGTTATGTTCAGTCATTGTTCTTATGTTGAACATGAATACATTTACTTTGTAAGTAATTATGGGACGTATTTCTAATTTCAAAGCAATTTTCTTTCATACTTTCTTGCCGTGAAATAGGTCTTAAATTCTATTCAAAGTGGTCTTAAAAAGGTCTTAAAAAGTCTTACATTTGAGTTGGCGAAACCTGCAGGAACCCTGACATCATAACATGTGGAGCTAGGTAGCTAGAAACGCTAACATGGCTTACCTTGGTCAAAACTGGTCTTCAATGGCATTAAAACGATAAAAAAACGATGCTGCAGTTAATCCATAGGTTAATCCTATGTGTCTGTGTCCTCTTTGAAATGATTTCTGATAATCCATAAGCAATAAAACTGCTTTTTCGTTTCCAAATGTCAGAGCGAGAAATCGGTCCACTCTGATGCAAAATTACATGCGCGCAGCCCCCACCTTTTCTCTTCACAACGTGTGTGTGTGGGGGCCTCCCCCTTCGATTCTATTGGCTCTAACGGTCAGAAAGAGGTGTCAACCATCAAAATCGAGCAAGGGGGGCCAGAGATATGGAAAAAAAAACAATTTTCACCCAAATCACCTCAGAGGTGGGGTGGTTTTGGCTAAACCTCTCTAAAAAGGTCAAATGTCACTTGTTTTGCATCAATCTTGATACAGGGTACTTATTATATGTTGTATTTTGGATTCCTAAAGCTTTTAGTCTACTAACCCATCATCCAAGGGTAGTTTTCACTATCTGTAAAAAAGAATTTTTGGACGGACACTATAATTTACAGTTTTTTACTATGTAAAATCTGAATTTTCTTTAAAATAAAAAACATCTATACTGATTCTGACACTTCTACATCCAACTCACAGGTGTAACCTTGCTTTGATAAAAAGAAATTATTCATATAACCCTTTTAGAAGTTAAGTTGTAGTCATTGGTTTTGGGCATGTCATTTTCGAGCCTGAAACATGAAAAACAGGCTTGGTGCTTAACAGGTTAACTGGGGGGGTAGAGACCAGTTAACTGGGGGGGTAGAGACCAGTTAACTGGGGGGGTAGAGACCAGTTAACTGGGAGGATAGAGACCAGTTAACTGGGAGGATAGAGACCAGTTAACTGGGAGGATAGAGACCAGTTAACGGGGGTAGAGACCAGTTAACTGGGGTATAGACCAGTTAACGGGGGTAGAGACCAGTTAACGGGGGTAGAGACCAGTTAACTGGGGTAGAGACCAGTGTTAACGGGGGTAGAGACCAGTTGACTGGGGTAGAGACCAGTTGACTGGGGTAGAGACCAGTTAACGGGGGTAGAGACTAGTTAACGGGGGTAGAGACCAGTTAACGGGGGTAGAGACCAGTGTTAAAGGGGGTAGAGACCAGTTAACGGGGGTAGAGACCAGTTAAATCAAATCAAATCAGGTTTTATTTATATAGCACATTTAAAAGCGATTTTTGGTCGAGCCAAAGTGCTGTACATGTAACTTATTGTCGTTTATTGTGATTGTAGTAATGTGTTTTTATTACAACAGATATATATAAAAAACAAAATTAAAATAAAAACACAAGGAAAAGTCAGTCCGCTCTAACTAGAAAGCCAGAGAGAAGAAGTGTGTTTTTAGAGTGGATTTAAAAACCCCTAGGGTCTAGGCCGACCTCACATGGAGGGGCAGAGTGTTCCAGAGTTAACGGGGGTAGAGACCAGTTAACGGGGGTAGAGACCAGTTAACGGGGGTGGAGACCAGTTAACTGGGGTAGAGACCAGTTAACGGGGGTAGAGACCAGTGTTAACGGGGGTAGAGACCAGTTAACGGGGGTAGAGACCAGTTAACTGGGGGAGAGACCAGTTAACTGGGGGAGAGACCAGTTAACTGGGGGAGACACCAGTTAACTGGGGTAGAGACCAGTTAACTGGGGGAGAGACCAGTTAACGGGGGTAGAGACCAGTTAACGGGGGTAGAGACCAGTTAACGGGGGTAGAGACCAGTGTTAACGGGGGTAGAGACCAGTTAACTGGGGTAGAGACCAGTTAACTGGGGGAGAGACCAGTTAACGGGGGTAGAGACCAGTTAACGGGGGTAGAGACCAGTGTTAACGGGGGTGGAGACCAGTTAACTGGGGTAGAGACCAGTTAACGGGGGTAGAGACCAGTGTTAACGGGGGTAGAGACCAGTGTTAACGGGGGTAGAGACCAGTTAACTGGGGTAGAGACCAGTTAACTGGGGTAGAGACCAGTTAACGGGGGTAGAGACCAGTTAACGGGGGTTGAGACCAGTTAACGGGGGTAGAGACCAGTGTTAACGGGGGTAGAGACCAGTTAACTGGGGTAGAGACCAGTTAACTGGGAGGAATTATAAATGTCCAGCTGTCTACAGTGTTTGTTCTCCTCTTGCAGATACTCCTCGCAGGAGAACCAGGAGAACCTCAGGGATGTACGACTCAGACAGAGCCTCCAACGGTGAGACCACTTCCATTCGCTAATTTATGCTAAGCTACTGTCGCTAAGTGCTAAACATGCTATGTGTAAATAAGATAAGATGTACTTTATTGATCCGAATTTGGGAAATGTTTGCGTTGCAGCTGCATACAGAGACAAGGCTCATTAGAGAAATTAAAAGACTATAAATAAACAATCCAAAATGTGAACATCTCGATAGAAAAAACATAGCGTTACAAATAGAACATATACAAGTGTACAGTAACAAAAGATGAAGCAGGATAGATGTAGTATATATAGAATATTAAATCACCTCTCTCTGCAGAGGATTCTGGGAACTCTTCAGAGGACAGCGAATCAGAAGACCCGGCTGACAAGAAGCCGTCTCTATGGAGAGGAAGGCCTGAAGCCCCGCCGTGTCCCGAGGAGGAAGAGGAAGAGGAGGAGGAGGGAGAGGAGGGAGGGGAGGAAGAGGAGGTGAAGCAGCAGCAGCAGCAGCA